CTCTAGAGGCGGGTGAGCAGTGCGATTAAGGCCATTTGCACGGGAAGATGTAGAGCTTGTAACTTAGTCTGATCAGCAGGGATGAAAATTAGCAGTAAAAGGTATATCAGTAACGTCAAAGATAGAATTGTAGACAATGCCACAATGTGATCAATGGAATGATTAGACCACAGTTCCGGTGTTTTGGCCCGTGTCTCATAGGCCTTCTTAAAGGCGAGGAAGTTGGTTGACTGAGCAATTGTTGCGAATGAGAAAGACTTTCGAAGTTTCGTCCACCTCTTCATCTTAAAGAAGGCCTTTGTGACACGAACTAAAACCGTCGGTACTGGTTCATTATTCGATTGACTGTATTTTTGCGTTGTACGTGTTTTGTGATGTTTTCACAAGTGATGCATATCGAAGGTGTAATTTTTTTCAAATGCACGAAATTCTTGGGTCTGTATTTCAACCGGCTCTTTTGGATTTTCGCGCTGTCCTCGCTTTCGTGGAAATTGTTATGCGTTTCTTTCGTACACATCTGACCGGTAGCTGTTTTATGCTAAAGCCGATTCAGCGTTACTCGTGCTTGATCAGCTGCTTTTAGAATGCAACTGGTTGAGATGCTGTGCTTTATTTATTGGCGTGTATTTTTTATGAGCTGCTTTAAGAAGCGATTCAAGACCGCTGTTATTTAATGTTGAATAATTTCCGTTTTAAAACTATCTCATTAAAACAGTGTCATCAGCAATGCGCTTCAAACTTTTATGTTGGTTAAACAGCTGTTTGAGCATTTGCACATACAGTGTTCGTTCAGATTTACAGTTCACTACTTCTTTTGTTTGGAGAAGGCAGCTTTTTCAGGACGCCTTTGCCGATTCTTGTAATCTCAATTCTAAGGTGCCGAAATATTATTTATTTCGTTGTGTTTTGTTTTTATGCTAAATTATACTAGATGATTACAAAATTGCCATGCATATCAGTGAACCGTATTTTGTGCTATTTTCAGTTTTAAATTTCATTGCTGACCATAAATGCACAAACCCAATACTCAGTCTTAGTATTTAGATATTCTTGGATCTGTATTAGTTTTGTTGAAGCATGCTTGATGAAATTCTGTAGAACAGAAGAAGGCTTCGTTAATAAACGCTTCAGTTGCCCAAAGCTGGATTGCATACGTTACTGTTTACTATGGCATATCAGTCAGTCGGTGAATTTTACTTAACTGAATTTAAGGCACACAATAAATTGCTAAAACTCTGAACGTCACAGTCATCAAGTACTAAACAACAAAGTCAGCAGGAAGTAGATCCATATCAGGCTGGTGTATAATTGCAGTTGTTGTTTTTGGGATCGATCAGACATGAGGCAGCGAAGTTACAACTGATCTTCAGTAAGCCTCGGTCCTGAACCTGCCCGTAACGTACACGGATCTGGTGCTAGGCCGCTTCGAAAGAAACCATTGGGTGAGTTGGTTCGGTTAGACTAGAATGGTTCGTAGCGGGTGTTATTTTTATCAAGCAACTGTTTAGGATGCATCGAAGCTCATCAGCGCTGTAGTTACAGAGTCGGCTAATTCGGTTTCAAAACGCTTTGAATGCAAGCCAGTTGTTCTGTTCAGAGGCTGCAAAAGCAGACTGATAGAACGTATAGGAAAAGCGACTGAATGACGGATTTAGTGAAGCCTTTCAGCACGTCTGAGCCAACGCCCAACCAGCTTAATCTGCGCAACACCGAAATCGATTGTCATACTTCACCATCTGTAACGTTTATCTGCCGTCCAATCCAAGGCATTCACCCACGATCAGACGGGCATTTTACAAGTGAGCCTTTTTCAAGCAGGGTTTTTCGGAACTAGGCAGTTAGTAAAATAACCTCCATAAGATTTCTTTAAACAGCTGCATGATTTTCTCAATTAAGAAAATATTTTCTTTGTAGGTTATGATGTTTGATGCCTATTACCAGCAAGCCTCTTAAGCTCGATTTTGACGTGGTAAGGGAAAAGGTAAAAATTAGCCCTGAGCTGAAACAAGAGACAACCGTTTCGGTAAACGTCATAAAGTATTCTCAATATCAGCTTGATGGACCAAGATATATTTTCGATGTGACATTGTTCGAACAAAATAATGAAGTTATAATGGGCAACCGCTTATTACCAGCCGTTGCCAAAATTTTTGTGGAACATTAACTAGTAACATTCGTCGAGTGTTCTCTGAGCGATATATGGATGATATTTTTTCTGTTTGCAAAAGTGGCAAGGAATCATGCTATTTAAACTATCTGAACAATCTGTTTTCAGACGACTGAACAAGGGGACATTTTTAACCCTTTTGCATGCCTTGGTTATGCGGAAGGAGACCTGCCGTCAAGCAGAGGCCTGTCTCAAACCGATATACACATACAGTTTCCTGCATTTTACTTCAAATTGTATGGAACAATGAAAAACATCGTTAAAACTGTTGTCAGCTGATGTCAAAAACGGAAGTTATGATGAACATGGATTTCAGAAACAACTGAATTACGTGAGAAAGGCATTTAGTAAGAGGAGCAATCCGAAACGTTTTGCAGAAGAAGCCAGTAGTCAACAAATGAATCAGCCTCATATGTGGAAGAAAACTGAAAAAGGTGAACTTACCTGACAGGTAGTATGTCTGCCTTACGTGCACAATCTGAGCAAAAAAATTAGGGATCGCCTCACCTCTCAGCTTATAAGTTCTATCCAAGTCTTAAGTATGCCTTTGGAATCAACTAAAGAATGCCAAAATGAACATATCGCAAGACGAACATTGCGAATTGATCAGCTGTATGCTCTACATGGAGAGATGGGATAATTCCATCGAAGAAATAACAAAACTCGCAACCAAATTACGAAATGTTTAAGAGAAATAGTTAGTGCAGAACAAGAACGAGTTAAGAGGTAGACGAAAGATCTTGTAGTCAACAAAGCATATCTCGCGAAAGCAGCTCGGCGGTTCTTCAAACTGTCACCGAAAATCATCAGATTAGCTCACTGCTCACCGGCGGAAGGAACTGTAGATTTTGGAAGATGAAAGAAGCTATGTGTATCTTGAACAACAGGTGTATGAATAGGAACACTCAGATAGGTCTGAGTAATATCTGTACATCAGCTGTTAATAAAGCGCTATCAAACGTGTATGCCTGCTCAACCCATTAATTTCCCAAATTTGACTTTAACGATTTGATTTTGCAGAACTGTTTATATCACCGTTTCCCAACAACTGTCTGACTATGACTCGAAGCGTCAAGGGCTTGTGTAATAAAGTGTATATATGGAACAGTCCCGTAAGAAACGTGAAGATCATGGATGCGATTATATACTAATGTAGCAACTGTTTTTTTTGAACGTGATAGATTTGATTCACAGAATGAAAAAGCTATTGATTACAAAACTCGTTGAAACGACGGGTGGGTGATATATCCATGTTAATCCGTGAAATGTCATTAAATGCTTTCGGTACATCATCACTCTCGGTATATCATTACCTAGTAATACACCTTTTGCTAATTGCCACATTACATAAGAGAAAGCGATTTTTTACTTTGTGATGCGCGCCATCATTTAGCATTTGGGTACCTTTCGTCTTTTCCGGTATAATCACGCCAGAACACCGTTTTGTCGTTGTTGTTCGTTAGCCAGTGACTTGCTGCGATGCGCTGGTTGCTCTAAAGCAACCTGGAGAGAATCCATTGCTCAAGGGAATTATCAGTTGAGACATTTTCTCTTATACTCTATTCCAACTTCACACATCCAGAGTTAGAAGCCTACCACTTTGCCACCGCACGACAACCAGTGAGTAAAGCAGGTCGAAGATCGAGGCAATACGTGCCTGATATTATCAGGAAAGGGAGAACAGCGATATTTTCTCTGTTGTGTAGATGATGAAAACCTAAGAAATTAGCTATTGTATGGTTGCCAAAGCTTCAGCATGTTGATTTTGATTTATTCTTCTGAACTGAG